TTCCTCCAACATGCCCAGTATCATGCTAGGCCTTCTGGGGGTTAAAACAGTTCTCCAGAAGTTTATCATTTAGTTGGGAAAATAAGATGTACGTACATGAGCCAATTGAAAAAGAAGGTGACTTCTAGTAAGTGTCATAATAGTTATGAAAGGGCTTGAAGATGGAGAAGGAAAAGAAATGCTGGCTGGTCTTAAACTAACCTAACCACAGTGACCACAGACCTCAAGCATGAGGGCGATCAGCTCGCCAGGAAGAGACTACGAGAAACCTCCCTCTGCGGAGCCTCAAGTTATCTTAAAGTTCCTGGAAGGGAAGAAGAGCCAGAGGGAGGGTGAGTGTTTTCTAATCTCAAGCAGACCAAGGAAAACCCGAGGTCGGACCGCAGGAGAGAGGAGTGACTTCAGGGACCAGAAGCAGAGGACCCGAGTTCTGGAAATAATTCTATCCCTCTTGACCTGATCCTGAGCAAAACCCTGGACTTCACCTCTTGCTTCACAGCATCCTTGCTAGTAAATTAGAGAAAATATTTGCCTCCTTCCCAAAGGAACAAAAAAAATTACAGCATGCTGAGTAATTTGGCCCCATGGGGGAAGGAAACGTGTCTGTGCTGCGGGGAGCGGAGAGCGAGAGCGGAGAGCGGAGCTGTGGCCCAAGAATGCCCCCAGGCTGCTTCAGGCTTGTGATAAGCTTGGGGCGCCCGAGAAGATCTTCCTGTGTTCTTTCTTTCCCCTCTCTCGTTTTTTTCTTCCTTTCTTTTTTCTTATACTTTTATAACTTAAAAAAAAATGCTGCTTTTCTGAAAAAGTTTTATGAAAGTATTGCCTACACATGGCAAATATTTAAGCAGTTAGAAGGGTACACAGTGAAGAAGTAGGCTTCCCCTCCACCCCGATGTCGTTTCCCTCACGGCCCTGACTAGTCCGGGGCTCCTCTATGTACTTAGAGAGATTTCAATACACATATCAGCCTCTCTCTCTCTCTCAACAAACTAGAGTAACACCTGTTCTGTGCTTTGCTTTTGTTCTCATTTAGCAATAAATCTTGTGAACCTCCCCCAGATCAGCCCAGATGAAACCGCCTCACTCTGTCACAGCTGTGTGGGATCCATGGTTGGATCTGGCAGGATTTAGTTAACAGTCCCCAGGGCCCTGGTTTTTATGGCACGAAGCCTGTTAAGAGTAAAAGGCCTTTCCCCGGTCATTCATTGCCAATACACCTGTTTATGGGGCCTGCCGTGCGCCGGCTCGGTGGTGGGGGTTGAGATGCAGAGGGAGGCAGAGCCCCTTTCCTTGGGAACTGGGAGCCTAGTGGGAAGGTGGGCACTGAGGAGACATCAGAAGGCCATTGCAGGGCTGTGGGTACACAGGGCTGTGGGACCCCTCCTGGTACCCCGTGCATCTCCTGACTTCGACTTCTCCCCCAAGGTGGAAAGCCAAAACAGCCGCCCTGCAAGATGTGGGCCTAGCTAAGGGCGTTGACAGTCAGGGCAGGGAATCCTGTAGCAGGGAAATAAAAATCAGCAACTCTCGTTCAAAAATATTACAGATAGAGCACCTTAGGGTAGTCACAATACCTCTGAAACCTGCAGGAAGAGGATTTGTTTAGCAAACGCAGTAGGCTCTTAGGGAACGGGAGAGAAGGAGCCAGAAAAGATGGGCAAAGATACAATTCATCTACTTCCAAATGCTTCCTGCCTTCCGCAGGGCTGAGCCTGACCCAGCCTCCATTCCTCTCCTACACCCCAGCCCGGCACTCCTGAAGGGGCTTTGCCTCCCATTCACTTTGCTCGTCTGGATCAGGGAGGGCCTGCCACAGGGGGCTCCCACATAGTCCTCTGTGGGGACAAGCCCAGCAAATCCCGCCCCGGAGGTGCCACACTCCACACACAGTTGGACATGAACCCAGTGACCCAAACTATGTCACCTCTCAGGAAAAACGGGGAGGATCCCTGGGGAGGAGGAGCAGGAAGACAAGCCTAAGGACTGGGCCGAGCAAAGCCCACAAGAAGGGGTGGGTCTCGCCTTCCATTATTGTGTAAACAGAGCAGAGGCAGGACAGACAGACGGCACCAGGGCTTCCGGAGGGAGAGGCTTGGGTTTACTCAGCTTTGTCCTGCCTGGCTCTGGCTCCACGGGGGAACAGTTGCTGGGCCTTGAGATGCCCAGGAAGCAGGTCTCCTTGGTGGTGGTGGTGTTGTATATGTGAGTGTGTGGGGGGGAGAAAACGGGAGGGGATGTAAGCATTTAAATGTGCTCTTTCCCTCTCAAAGCGAGAGACTGTTAATTTTGCAGCTGTCCAGCAGGCCCGAGGCCCACTGTTTCTGGGCTAGAACTAGCAGAACAAAGAGAAATTATTGCTGAACCATGATAACCCAGCATGTCATCCCCCACTACTCACCCAGGCCCACAGCATCTCTGACAGCACAGTCGCTTTCCCAACACGCCTACCAGTCCCCAAGCTTCACAGGTCCTCCTGGACTCTGACTGCCATCTCCTCCCTGTCTGCACTGGCGCCGCCCTGCCTCATGCCTGCCTCACGTGCTAAGGAGCCCATCTGCCTGCAGCACTGTGGATCCACACCATCAGGTCCTTCCCTGAAACCCTGCTGGCCTCACGCCTCCCCCCCTCAAGGCTCCCACTGCCGTCCCCGCTCAGCACAGCCCTCGCCCTGACTCCTAAGGGCAGGGGTGGTTCTTCCTCAGTGCCTGGCATAGAGACGGTGCTCAGGTGGTGAAGGAGCGACGATGGAGGCGGACGGCTGGGAAGGTGGAGGGCTGCCTTTTCTCAGGTGGGAGACGATGACGTCTGTCCATTCGCTCTGATTCGGAGGCGAGGAAGGTCTCCACAGGCTGTGGGAATCCAGCACCAGAACAGAGGGTTTTCACAAGGGAGGGAGTCAGGGCAGTGTGGCAATGAGCATGGGAAGCCAGACAGGGAAGATTAGCTTTAGGGAGGAGACAGAGGCTGGATTTGTTGAGGTGAAGGTGGGGCAACTGAGGCCAGGTGGACTCTGTGGGACGGCACTCACAGGGGCAAGAGGAAGGGAAAGCACATGGCAGAGAGAGGATGGACCATCTGGGACAGTTTTGTGTGGACTGTGCCAGGGAGACAGTGAGGAACGAGGGAAAGGTCCAGTCTGTGTAATTCTAGTGTCTTTCTGGTAGCGCCCCTCAGCCAGGGAGCAAGAGGGGAGAAGACTGGCCTGGGAGGAGATGGCACTAATGTTGCCTGTGTCAGCCCCTTCACTCCCCACCATTCTTATGACGCCTGTTTTACAGACAAGGGACCTGAGGCTCTACGGGTTGAGGTTAAGGAATAAGCCCACACAACAACACAGGGTCAGAGCTGCGGCTTAACCCCCATCCCTGGGACTCCCACTGTCCAGGCCAGCACCAGCAGCAAAGAAGGCAGGAGCAAGAGCGCCCAGGGCGGCTGGGCAGGAATGGGTATTAGGGTCTAGAAAGAAGGCCAGGAGTGGTAGGGTCAACAGGTTCACGAGACTGTGGAATGGTGTGGAAAAGTCACATTGAGCCAACGTAGATGACAGATGGGGTGCAGACAAGAGCCTTAACTAAGGGCTGAAGTCACCTACTGCTTCTCACAGCCTTTGGTCCCCCTCCTAGTCCCTTCCTCCCTCGTTCTGCCTTGTCTCCTCCCTGGAACTGCACCTTACGTTGTGTAGCCCCTTGTTTATACCTACACATTAGTTTACCAAGGCCAAGTGGAACCTGGGATGTTCACCTAAAAGGAGGAGCCGCCCATGTGGGCCCTGCCACCCCGGGATTCGGCAGGGAGATGAAATGCCCACACTTGCCCAGAATTCACCAGCCTGGCTTGGCCGCTAGAGTGCCAGCGAGCTCACCAGGACAGCCTGGTACTCTCCGAAGCATGCCCCGCTCTCCTTGCAGTCGCCACCCTGACGTCTAGGTGGCACCAAAACCTCACACTGATTCCTCCCAGGTTGGGGCACCGCCCATGCCCAGGGACAGAGTTGTTCCAACTGTCTCTCCAGACGCCTGCTCAGCTCAGCTCAGGCGTGCTCCGCTCGCTGGGTTCCGTTCCTCCAAGTCCAAAAGGCTGCAAGCTCGCGATTCCTTTCTGCTCTGCTGGGTGCCTGGCCTCCTCTGGGGAGAGGGAGTTAGCCCACACGCCCTCCTTCCTGCCTCAGGGACAACCCGAAGCGAGTACTACATCTGTTCTTTTCAAATGTAAAAAATAATTCTACTGAAAAGACAATATAATAACATTAAATTCATTTTTAAACTTTAAAAAAAATTATCAAAGCAATATTCACATGGTTCGAAACAGGCTCCTGGTGAACCTCTTCAAATAATTAAAATATTGTAGCTCATCCACTCGCCCAAGGCATATACGTTTTTGCAGACCACCCATACTATCTGTTCTGACACTTCTTTGAGATGTGGCTCGTTAACAAAACGAGAAAGAACTCTTCATTCATTCATTCTTTCTGCAAGTATTTCCTGGGAGCCCCTAGGGTGGGCATCGTTGAGCACTGTTGATGGCCCTGGGGATGACCAGGATTTAGACAAGGTCCATTCTGGCCGAGCTCAGATCCCAGCGGTGGAGCCAGATAAACTCATGGAATGTCAGGTGCTGTTAAGTCTTAGGAAGAAAAACAGAGCGAGATTCAGGATGGGAGTGATGGGGAGGTGTCCGTGGCCAAGAAAGATCGCTCTAAGGAAGTGACATTAAGCAGAAACCTAAATAAAATTTGGGGAGCAACTGGTAGGGGAGGAAATACACCTGTCAGTTGTGGAGCAGCCCCCCTCCCGGGCAAGGGTAGAGAGCAGGAAAGTTCGGATTCTCAGCGCTGCTCGGCCACCCCCTCAGCGCCCCGGGCTCCCTCGCTTCCTAGAGCTGGTCCCTCCTAGCGCGCGCGAGTGTGTGCATGTGGGAGGGTCCTCCGCCTCCCCGGCCCGGCCCCCCGCCCCCTCCGACCCCCCCAGCCCGCCCTGTGAGCGCGCCCCGGCGGCCACCCCTACCCGGGAGGAACGCCGAGCCGCAGCCGCGGGGAACCGTAAAGTTTGTGCGGCTCAAAGTGACGCAAAAATCCTTAAGGAGCTCTTTGGCGGCGGCTATCTAGAGATCAGACCATGTGAGGGGCCGAGAGTACAAATACGGCCGCTCGGCGCCTGCTCCCTCACAGGCAGCGGCCGCCCCGGTGCCTCGAGGGCGCGAGGGTCCCCGCGCGCAGAGCCCCGGGACCAGCCTCCCCGCGGACTCCCGGCAGGTGGGTCCGCTTTCCTTGTCGCTCCGAATCCACACTTCTTTCCAGAACTTCATCCCGCTCCACCTCCCCAGGCGCTGGCGAGGGCATGTGTGCGCCTGTGCGGTGGGCTTCCTGCTTTGCTGCTGCCCTCTCCGTAGGAGCGAGTGTGGACAGCAGACGGGCTGGAGGGAAAAGGTGAACGTGGAGTGGACGAGGGGACTTTGGAGGGCTCCCTTGTCTGTTGCATGCACGGGCTTTGTGATGTTTTGAGTCCCAGAGGAAGACCCTGTAAAGATGGTCTTAAGCAAAGTGCTGTCTTGCGCCTTGGGAAAAGTTGCTTTAGTTTAAAACCCATAGCTTGTGTTTGATCTTTACTTACTGCCATCGCGTGCAAGTGGCTTTATGGAAAGGCGTTTCTGCAGGGAGAGTTCTGGTTGACATAAGTGCCCAAATATCTAGAGAAATCTCTGAATGACAGTTAAGTGGGACGAGTCTCTGTGCGCTTGGGTTGTTTTCACTGGCAGAGCTGATGCCCGCTCGGCCGTCTCACAGGCCATTCAGAATTTATGTAAAACTCAAACTCCAGCGAGCGGTTTTACACAGTAGAAGTGTGTCACCATCAGTTGCTTGAAAAATGTATACATTCAAATTTGTTTTTGAAAAAGCTCTCTGTAGCTAAGGAACACGAGAGAGAGCATTTCTTTTTGCACTGAGTCCTTTGCCTATGGAATTCCTTTTTCAGTTAGTGTTCTAAAGAATTTGAGGGGGGTAAAATTCTAAGAGTCAGACCTTATGAAGGCTCGTGTGTGTGTATTTTTATGATCAATTTTGTCCAGAAAAATGAACCAGGTCAATGGATTATTTATGAGTCTGCTAGCTTTCATCATAGTAAGACGAGATCAAATATTTAATGTGTTTTGCTTTCGGTTACATAGGAAAAATGTCTAGGAAAGCAACATTGGGATTTGTGTTTCTTGAAACCGAGGGGCGCCATGGGCAGCAGCAGCGTTTAGACTGTCAGGAGTGGACGGAAACACAGAGCTTTGGCTCTTTGTACCATTACGTGCTTCTGTGTGGAGGCACTGATGTCCGACGGCTTACATTTCCCTCCGTCAGCCTGAGGTCGGGGTGACTGCTTCCATCATGGAAGAGAGGCAGGTTCTTATGGGGCTCCTGCAAATTAAGCAAGCTGTTTGGGGCATGGGGTTTTCTTTTTTTCACTGAACCTGAATAAGAGCCAATTGAGACTGCTTCACAATTAATCAGAAGCCCCCTCAACCCTCTGGTGATCCATCTAGAACATTTCAGAGATGTGACACCAGCACAGGTATTCAAACCCATTGCTTTCAGTCTCCTTGCTTAGGAAATATATATACTGGGGGCAGGCGGTGGGGTGGGGGTGGGGACAAAATAATGTTGGAGTTTTAATGGAATTGGCAAAACCTCGGAAATTCCTCTCTGGGGGATTTTCAGAGCTATCTGGGCATTTTGATGAAACTTGGAGAGGCATGTCAGAGAGTTTCACAAGTGGGTGAGGTGCCTGTGGAACGGAGGTGCTTGGCTGGAGGGGGCGTCTCTTACAGCAGGCCTGCAAAAACCCCCTGGAGACCTGCCTCCAAGGAGAAACACAGGTAATTCCAGAAATTAAGCCAGTAAGTGGCAGTTCCTTCTCCTTCAGACTCATCAAATGGTGTAATTTGGGAGAACAAAGGCAGAGCTGCCTGAAGGAGTTTAGTTTTAATTTGGCTTAATGAATCAACAGGATATGGTCATGACTTGACTTTTTAAATAAAGACGCCTGATGGCCAAATGGAAAACATGCAGTCACTTTTCTGTCAGTTTATGAAGGTGCCTTGGACCTTAGTTATTCCCAGTCACAGATCAGCTCGTCTGTGACTCACGGAACTCGGCGCCGTGTGACGGGGAGGAGGGAGCCCTGCGTAACATGATGTCCAGGACCCCTCCGGTTCATTCTGTGCCTGGGACCCCAACCTCTCTGCTTTGAGCAAACACGAGTTGAAATAATGGTACAAAATGCCTGAGGGCTGGAACTCTCTGCCCAGATGTTGCCATCAAATCAGAATCCTCTAGAGATGCCCCCGGCTTTCACTGTGAGGAGGCGGCTTTGCACACTGACACGCACGGTCAAGTCCTGCACCGCAGCCACGGTCAACCAACAGGGGCCCGGCTCCCGACTGCCCGAGTCCCCTTTGCAGGACGCCCAGGGTGTGGTGCAGTAGAAACGGCTTCTGGAGGGTGCAGATTTGGGCTGTGTCGATTTTTTCTCTCCAGGCACTGAGCTGTTGCCAGTCGGCCGCACTCCCCTCAGGTTTGTCATGTGCCTGGATCAAGCTTGCATGTGGAGTCACAGGTCTGATAAAGCACCCGTCTCTCCATTCCTGGAGCAAGTGGTGCTGGCTCAGCCTGCTCCTGTAGGGAATCAGTTTCTGGGCTTAACCAGGCAAAATAGCACCCTAAGGAAAGAAAACGGGCATCTCTCTAGGGGGGACCCAGGTGGAAAATAGATAAGACTAGCCTTTAGAAGAAACCTGGCACAAATGATTTTCCCTCGGCCCAGGGGTGAACTGCTCTCCAGGGTGGGCACGACCCACCATCGGCTGACACAGCCGCCTTATTTCTGGTAGAGCTCGTCCTGCTGACTTGGGTCCACGTTCAGAAATGGTCTCTGAGTAACGTCTCTGCCCAGGGGCCATTCCCTCCAGCCTGACCTTTGCAGCTCTTGGTGACTGGGAAGATGAATGCTCATTTACTGAATGTCACAAACACATTTTTAAACCTGAGTGTTTTCCCAGTCCTGTGTCTCATGGGTGACAAAATGAGTAGAGAAGAGGCCGTGTGAAGCAGTTGGGCTGCCTTATTTTCCTCTTTCCTTTGGCTCCCCTGGCACCTGGCAGGGGCTCCCTTGCTACCACCCCAACGCTGGACCAAGGGTGCTTGTCAGTGGGTATTTAAGCCATAGGCTTTTTAAAGACAGGACTGGATAGGCCTCCATTAGCCCCAGAAACCCCTGGACTGCAGGACGAGAGATGAATCCCAGTGACGTGGAGACACGAAGATGATGGCCAGGGTTCCCAGGCACTGACAAGTGGCCCATGGCATGGGGAAGGTCTCCTGGGACCTTGAGGTCCAGTTATCTGAGGCAGGGAAAGCAGAGGTAAGGGGCGGTTGGGCAAGGCCGAGTAGCAGAACTGGGAGAGCCAGTTGTGTGCCCTGGACAATCCCGAGCTGGAGGCTGTAGGTGGGCTCGGTGGGAGGGAGGGAGCAAGTCAGGGGGCCTTTGCCTTCTTGTGTTTCTGTGTGGCCTTTCTGGGAGTATTCAGGAGAAAAGAACATTTTATTTCCTTTGTTACTGAGCTGCTGAATGAAAATAAAATGAACTGAACTTTTTCCTCTAAGGGACTCCCTAGAATTAGGCAAGGACGGAGCTGGAAGGGCCTTGGAGGTGAGCTGCTCCAAGTTGCCCGGAGGTTTGCTCGAACCCGCCCACCGAGCTGGAGGACGCAGCTGGCCGAGAACTTGAGTCTCTGTGCTTCTGGTCCTTCTCTCCCCTGGGTGTGTTGTTTTTAAACGCTAATCAAGTGAGCCGCCTCTTTCCCTTGTTTCAGAGGAAAGGGCCTGGGACAGGGACGGAAGAGAGGGGAAGGGACTGGGGGTGAGAGGAGATGGCTATTCTGGGGTGGCACCGGATTACTTTCTGAGACGTTTGCTCCTGTGGGTGAGAACCTGTCTCTTGCCCTCATCTCAGTGCATCTGAGAACTAGATCAATACTGTGTAACGATGAACTGATTTTTCATGAATGTCCCCAAACTGTGTATGTGACTCCTTGTAAAGCACATTTCCGAACTTCTTGACCTAAGAGTATAGGCACCTTCAAGCAACTTCACCCAAGTCACAAACGTCTTGTGACTGAGGAGGTGGCCACTCGTGGCCTCCGTGCCCCTCTGCACTCTGCTGCTTGACCCCGTCTCTCCCCCCACCCTGTTCTTCCCCCTATCTGCCCCATCCAGAGAAGCAGGCCCAGTTCCCCCTTTCCTCTCATCTTCATCACTCATGTTTTATTTAATTCCACCTCAAATCCCTTTTTCCTCCCCTTCTCTCTTCCACCTTGCTCAGCTGCCACAGGTAAATCCACCCTCGTTTAATAACCCCCTCCCCCTGGGTCTGCTTTTCTCTCTCTCCCCTCTCTCTCTCGGCTCCCTTTATGGGTCTAATCATATCCATTTTACATGTAAGTAGTCTTAGTAATATACTGATATTAAGAAAAAGAAAATCTGGGGCCGGCCCTGTGGCCGAGTGGTTAAGTTCGTCCGCTCCGCTGTGGCGGCCCAGGGTTTCAAAGGTTCGGATCCTGGGCGCAGACATGGCATCGCTCATCAGGCCACGTTGAGGCGGTGTCCCACATGCCACAACTAGAGGGACCCACAACTAAAATATACAACTATGTACTGGGGGGATTTGGGGAGAAGAAGCAGAAAGAAAAAAACAAAATAGATTAGCAACAGTTATTAGCTCAGGTGCCAATCTTTGAAAAAAAAAAGAAAAGAAAAAAAGAAAAAGAAAATCTGTGTTTGGAAATGCTCCCATATTTTTTATCTTGATTTCTATTTACCACATAAATTGCCTCATGACAACAGTAAAGGAATGTTTGAAGGTGTAAGTGACACTCGTAAGTAACCCTGCCTAATCGAACACATCACCTGTTCCACTTTCCCAAGTCTGTCTCCTGGCCTTGTGCCCATTGAAAGGTATTACAACAACAGAATGAAAGCACGTTTGTTTTCTGCAAAAAAATGTAAGTTGTGAAGTTAAATGTAACAAAGGAATTCATGTCATCAACTTCTAAAGCTCTTTAAAGATGCCTAAAAAGATGCCTCCGTGGAAGCTATACAATTTTCTCCCCTTCCATGTCCTTCTCTCCTTAGTTTTCCTCTAAAACCGGAAAGAATGTTAAAATAAATAGAGAAATAACTTCTGATCAGTTTGATTGTCAGCCCCTCAC